CCGCGTGGCGCTCCTTGGTCGAGAAGGGCGGCTGGCCCTTGCGGATGCGCGGCGGCCAGTCGTCGAGCGCGGCCTCGAGCTCCGCGAGGGCCCACTTGCGCTGCTCGCGCTGCTTCTTGCGCCGCTTCTCGATGCGCGCGTCGCGCCGCGCCTTGTCCGCGGCCTGGCGCTTGACCCAGGCGTTGTGGTGGTCCCAGATCTTCTTGAGGTCCTCCTTCGAGGGGAACATGTAGTTCTTGAAGACCTCGTAGGCCACGGGCTGCTGCTCCCGGGGCAGCGCGCCCGCGTCGCTCTCGTCGTCCCAGTCGAGCTCGTCCTCCTCCTTCTCGGGGGGGCGCAGGGTCCACTCGCCGTCGTCCTCGCCGTCGCCGTCCGCGTCGCGCGTGCAGATCGCGTCGACCCACATGTGGATCCGCGCCTCCACGAGGCGGACGCAGTTGATGTCGCTCAGGCCCGTGAAGCGCAGCATGTCGCCGATCTTCTTCGCGCGCAGCGTGCCGATGGGGCTCCGGTTGTCGAAGCTGCGCTTGCCCTTGGGCAGCGCGATGATCGCGGACGCGGGCGCGTAGGGCCACGGCAGCGCCTCGACGTCGGGCTCCTCCGCGCGGAAGATGGCCACGACCGTGCGCCAGTGCCAGAGCAGGTGGCGGTGGGCCTCCTCCGCGAGGATCATCTTCAGCTCGAGGAGCGCCGCGTGGCCCTTGCGATCGGGCGCGACCATGCGGCCCATCATCGCGGACATGCGGCCCGCCTTCTTGAACTTGGAGAGCATGGACCCCTTCTTCTTCTTCGGCGCGCCCCCGAAGGCCACGGCCTTTTTCGGGGAGCCGCCGCCGAGCGCCGCGAGCGCGGACGCCTTCTTTGTAGGCGACACCTCCGCGTCGGACTGCGACTCCGCGCTCTGCTCCGACTGCGACGTCGCGGGCCGCGGCTCCTCGGCCGCGGCGGCGTCCGCGGCGGCGGCCGGGGGCGCGTCCTGGACGATGCCCGTCGTCGCCATGACGGCGATGACCGACTTGCGCGCGCGGACTTTCGCTTGGTAGTGCGCCTCCATCTCCGCCAATTTCCTCCGCTTCGCCTCCGCGGCCTCGCGCGCGGCCCGCTCGGCGACGAGCATGGCGGCGCAGCGCGGCGTGTCCGGCAGGGGCCAGTTGCCACTCCGCTCGAGCTGGAGCCGCAGCGCCGGCGGCACGGCCTTGGGCACGGCGCTCCAGACCGGCGGGCCCGGGTCGATTTTGGACCCGAAGAAGGGCGTCTCCGCGCCCAGGACCTTGGTGCCCTTGAAGTCGTGGCTCAGGCACGTCAAAGGCCGCGACACGTCGAGCTGGCTCACGTCGCCCACGGGCAGCCGGCTCGTCGACTTCGACAGGCTCCGCTGCTCGTACCAGTGCCGCTTCTCCCGCGGCTCGCCGCCGAGGAGCGGGTCGCTCCAGTCGCGCCGCGCCGAGGGGCTCAGGTGCCGCGCCCGCGACCGCCGCGGCACCTCGCGCGCGTGCTTCGCCTGCTTCGCGGCGAGGCCGTAGAGGAACTGCTTCTGCTGCGCCTGCTGCTGGCGGCCCCGGTCCGTGAGCGCCGTCGACCCGGGCAGCTGTTTGCCGGTGGGCTTCGGCGGCGGCACGTAGACCCGCGCCGTCGTCGCCGGGTCGAAGTCGCCGTCGCCCATCGCGGGACCGCCGCTTAGAGCTCCATCGACGAGCGGCAGCGCTACCGGTGCAATATCCATGCATGAATAGCGCGTTTCACTCTATGTTGAGCCGATTATCTAGATTGCCCGCGTGGACCTGGGCTGCGTCCTCCGGCCATGGCCTGCTGCGAGCCGTCGGCCTTGTGCACGGGGGCTTTGTGCACGGGGTCGCCGCCCGAGGTCTGCGTCGGCGACTTTGCGGAGGAGGGCCAGGTGGAGCGCACGGAGTCGGCCACGGAGCTCCGCGAGCTGAACAAGGGCGAGCAGCCCGACGACCCGGCGCCCCGGGAGCATCCCGACGGCCTGGCGCCCCAGGAGGACCTGCGGCCCCGCACCTACCGCAAGTTCGTGCGCCCGGGCCCCAAGTCCGTCGTCACGAAGGACTTCCGGCCGCGCGAGGGCTTCTCGCTCGGACCCGAGCCGGACATGTGCGGCCTGAGCTGCCTCGGCTGGAGCTGCGGCGTCACGTCCTTCGGCTTCGGCGCGAACTTCGCGAACTTCGACGCCGCGGTCGAGACCCTCGAGAGCTCGAGCGGCCTCGCGAACGCGCGGCGGCTCCCGGAGCCCTCCTACGCGTCGACGAGCCTCATCGCCACGTGCACGCACCCCTGCGCGCCCTACGAGGACGAGTACCAGAGCGAGTCCGAGGACGAGCTCGCCTACGCGCGCGACGTGCCGTCGGACGAGCCGAGCCTCTCGGTCGCGGACCTGCGGCTGTCGGCCTACGGCTCCTGAGTCGTACTAGTAAGTGGACGTTTGTGTGGACATCCAGTGGAGTATTACGCGGGCGTCGGCGTGGCTGCCGCCCGTCGCGGGCCGAGGCGGCGCGTGCGACAGGTGTGTTTCGTACTCGAACATCGGTATTACGCGGGCGTCGGCGTGGCTGCCGCCCGTCGCGGGCCGAGGCGGCGCGCGCCGGGCGGGGGCCGAAACGTCGGGATCTACTAGGCGCTCCGCTTCGTCGCGGCGAAGAAGTCGAGGGCCAACGACGCCCAGGCCTCCGGGTACTCCTTGTGCAGGGGCCACGTGTGGCCCCACTGGCCGACGCACATGACGATGTCGCTCTCGCACTTCCCAAAGGGCCGGACGCACTGGAGCTCGCGCGCGCCGTCGTACTTCGTGGGGTACTTGGCCGTCCGTCCGTCGCAGTTCCGGGAGAACTTGCGCAGGATGTCGGGCTCCTCGACGTAGAAGAAGTGGTCCGAGCTCTCCGCGACGCCCCGGGGCTTCGGGCCCGGCTCGCCGTTGGACGCGTTCGCCGGGATCGTCCAGTCCGCGTAGCCGTGCGACGACAGGACGGCGACGGGCGACGCGGGCGCAACGTTGAAGCCGACGAAGCGCGAGCCGGCGACGGGCGCGACGGACGCGATCTGCGCGTGGTTGTCCAGCGCGGCCTGGTAGGCCATCATGCCGCCGGCGGAGATGCCCGCGAGGTGCACGGCGCCGAGGTCGACGCAGAGCTCGCCCTTGAGCTTCGCCAGGAGCGCCGTGACGAACGCCGAGTCGGCCATGCAGCTCGCGCTGTTGCAGCCCCGGCCCTCCGGAGCCGTGGGCGGTCGACGCCGCGCCGACGCCGCGCCGACGCCGCGCCGCGTCCGCCGCGACGGCGG